TATTTTAAGAGATATTGTATTAAATCTCAAGTGAAAAAAGTCATATTAAGTTTTGCCTTAATGTTGGAGAATTTTAAGATAATTCTTTAACTTAAAATTTTTTTAAATATTTCTAAATAAAGAATTTTAGCAAAAAATATTTTTTCTAATGAAGAAAATTAGGATTAAATTTCAAGTCAAAACTATTTTATTCAACACCAAAAATAATGCATGATTAAATGGTACCAATTTATGAGTATTATGAGGGTGCTAATCCTTTCCCACACGTAACTGACTCACAGATCCAACCTGATTTTCATAAACCAAAATATCTTTTTAATAAATTTTAAATCCACTTTTATAGTTTTATTAAAAAAATATTTTTTATCGACAATCACACCCTAATAAAGATTAGTGTTGATTTTTTTTTATTTTTTTTAATTTTAAAATACTTTACATATGACGATCTCAAAATCATTACAACAAAAAATAATGTTGACCCAATTCCATGCCAACAAGTAAAGTGTACAAATAAATAAAAATTGGATTAACATATGTTTTCCATTAAAGAGATTGAATCGTTAAAGAAATTTGGATTATGGAAGTTGGTTTGCTTTTCCATGAAAGAGATTGGAACATTAGTAACATGGTGCGTTGCACGCCTTCAACGAAAATGGGGGACAACTTGGTAAAGTTTTTGCTTTTATTTTAAAAGACAAAGTAGTAATATTTTTTTAAAAAAAAAGAAAACTTTAAATTAATATACTTATGTACAGGTTGAAAACTCATAATTCACCATTAAAATAACTTAAAATCAATCAAATTAATCAATATTACACGGTATTAAAATTGGTGTGAAAATCTTTCATTAATGTATCGGGTTTCATTAAAATTAAAATTAGTGCATTGCTAATTAGTACCGAATCGAAATTAAAAACATTCGATTAAGCTGATCAGAGTTTGAAAAACTATACTACCATGGATAAATATTGGAGGGGAAGCCATCTAACAATTTCCCCCATTTTGAATCCCCTTTTTAACGCTTTTTCCTGATCTAACCATGCTATAAAATAATATTTATGTAATGTTACAGGTGAAATGTTTATGTTGGATGAAAATTAATTCATTATTTTGTTTTAACTATTCATTAACTGTGTTAATTTAAGTTTTATATTTATTAATGATGAATTCAAAGCTTATTCAATTAATTTATACGGTTACAAAATAATATTTAATAAATTTAAATTTTGAATTTGAATTTGAATTTTTGTAATTTTTTTTTTTATCTTTAGGTTATGATATGTTTTTTAAGCAAAATTATTTTATTTAAATATTAAATTACTCATTATCAAAATTAGGTATTAATCTGAATATTAAATTATGGAACAGCATCTATTTACGCAAAAAAAATTTTACACAATTTTTTAAAATATTTGTTTTAATATATTCAAGAAATAAAAAATAATTTAATCTCATTTATTATATTTATTAAATTAAATAATTAAAAAAATATAAAACTTTTTTCTCCCCTTTAATTATTATCAAAAAGTATTTTTTATATTTAATTAAAACATGAAAAAAAAAAAAAGTTTGCTGTATGGTTGTAGGGCTTTTGGTGCTTTTGAGATCACCTCACTCCCCACTAGGTTCTTGGATATTTGTTGTGAAAAGATAAAAGATAACAGGCCAGTTTTGCAAGACAGGAGGGCGAAGGCATTTTGATTTGATCTGATTTGATTTGATCGATGGAATCGGCAAAACAATGCAGAAAGTTCGGTGAGAAGTGACCAACAGTTCGGACATGCATCTTGCTCTGATCAATACCAATTTGTCGTTAGTGCTGCAAAATGCACCGTACCTTTTTCTCTTCATATTTTAAATTTCTTTTAAAGTTTTTTAAAGTAAAATTACTTAATTTTTTAAAAATAAATTTATAAAAAATCGTTTTCGAAAATTGATTTTTGAAAGTTTTTAAAAACTTTTCTTAATTCATTTTTTTAATTTTTAAAGACTTTCAAAAGTTTATTTTCTGAAAATCATTAAGATTTTTTAAAAATTTATTGTTGATATTTTTAAATCACATCAAAATATTTCAATATAAAATTTTGTGAAATTAAATAAAAAACAAATAATTTACCTTTAATTATTTTTTTATTTTAAATAGATGAAAATTTTGAGTACATTTTTACCTTTTAAAATTTTAAATTATTTTTTTATTTTTTTCATTTAATTTTATGTTTAGTTTTTAAAATTTTCATATTAAAATGTTTTAGTATATTTTAAAATTTTTAAAAATAGATTTTCAAAAACTTTAAAGATTTCGATGATGAATTTTCCAAAGTTTTTAAAATTTTTTAAAAATTTATTTTTAAAAACTTGTTAGAAAAAGAATAATTAAAAAAATTTTATTTATAAAAAATTAAAAAAAATTAAGATGTAAAGAAACAATGGTATGATGCAAGTAGTCCCTTTTTATGTTTTTTGTGCATTGTTTTTGGTAATCGGATACGAAAGTGTGTTTGATACGTTTTTTTATATATGCAAAAGCAAAAAAACTGGAAATACAGATTTGAAAAGTTTTGTAACTTGTTAAAAGTGATAAAAATTTTTTTGATGTTTTCCATATTTTGGAGCATACGGATGAACAAATTCGTGTATGAACAGTATCAAATTTTTAATATTTCTTGTTGGCTGTAATATACCAACTAAACAGCACATAAGTTTGAAAGGTACTATGCAATTGAATTAAAATGGAGAGAGTAAAAACATTGGATATGAGTTTGAATTTTTAAATTTTGTTTGGTTTTGAATTAATTAATAATTATTTATTAAATTAACTTATTATTTTTGCAATGCAAAAATTATTTTTATTTTATTTAAATATAAATATAAATATAAATTAATATTATTTAATTATTTATATGTTTAAAATAATGTAAAATATAAATAATTTAATAAGATATTAAATCACAATAAAATTAAAATTTTTAATTAAAAAATAAACAAAATTTAAAATATAAGATAAAAAATATTGGAGGAGAAAAAATTCAAAATATATTGTAAATAATATTATTAAGTACAGCAACTAAATATTAAAATAGAAACTAAAAATTTTGTCACTTGAAATTAATTTTGTTCAATTTAAATCATTTTCAAATTTTTTTGGGTTATTTTTATACACCTGTAAATTTATATAATTCAAAACATAATGATATTTCAAAAATCACAAATTATTTTTTATATCAATTATTTTTTTACCAAATAACCTCATAGACTTTAGGTATGATATTATTTATCTGATAAGATAAAATTACATTTCATATTTTTAAAATTTAAAAAATATATCTAAATTATTAAAAAATTAATTTAAAAAATATTATTGCCTTGATTATTGTAAAATAAAGATAAGTTGTGCATATTTATCATGAAATTTTGATGAATATTCTAAAATTAAATTATTTAATTTCTATGCTTGTTTGATCATTCTTAAGGTCATTTTTTGTTTCTAATATAATAATCACTATCTTATGTTCATCTAATTTTCTTTTATTTTCACAACTCAGTAATAGCTTATGTATACTCTTAAGAGCTCATGTATAAACTTTGATTTAGATTAATAAAAAATCATCTTTAATTAAATCTCTTATTATGCGACTATAATTCAACACAATTTATATTGGTTTTATTTGAATGGTTTTATCTATTACTAATTTTACTGTGAATATACACTATGATAAAAAATTTGACTGTATTTATAATTTTTACTTGTAAGACAACCTTTAATATATATTTAAAGGTATATTTGATAGATGAAGATGATTTTTTTTCAGTTGAAAGAAAAAGTTTGAATAATTAAAAAATTTTCAAATAAATATATCTTAAAAATATTTGGATAATAAGAATTAATTTTATTTATTTAAATAAAATCTTACAAAAATAATAAAATTATCTATTTAATTATTTTAAATTTAAATTGATTTTTCATTTAAATTTAAAATTTTGAATAATTCAATAATTTTTTAAATATATTTTTTATAAATAGTCTAAAATTAGGAAATAATTTGTGTCATTATAAAGAGAAATTTTAAAAAAAATTTTACATGTCAGAAAAAAAAACTGTTTACATAAACGTTCATATCAACAAATCTTATATGATAAATATGTAAATTTTCTTACATGTCGAAATAAAAAAGGTTGCGTATATAAATGTTTACATCAACAAATTTTATATGATAAATATGTATGTTGTAATATATATGTGTGTGTGCGCACGCGTGTGTGGTATGTTTTAAAGGATCTTTGTTAAAATTTTGTTAATTGATTATTGAAAGAATTTTAAAAGTAATAGATTGGGTTCTTGTACATTTGAAGCACTTGAGTTTTGTATTAAATAGATTTATTTTTAATTTTTTATTAATTAAGTTTTAAATTTTTTACTTATATTTTGCATAAATTTATTTGAATCGAAATGATTACTATTATTTAAATAATTATATGACAATGATCATAATTATTTATAACATTATATATTATACAGCAAGTGGTGATATGTAGCCTCAGATAATTTTTAAATTCCGAATAAATTAAACAACAATCTTTTCAAAGTTTCAAGAGAGATAGATTATTGGTCTGAGTCAGAGACAGTCGGTTTTTATGGGCTAAAAATATTGGAACAGTTGCTCCCCTACGTGGGACACCTCGAGAAAGGAGACAATATAATTGGCTATTAAAACATTTAACTTATTTTTAAATTTTAGTGTTCTTCTTGTTGACAAGCACCAGCTATTTTTTTTACTTGTAAATTCATTCCTGAAGGATGGATATAAAAAATCTTATTGTATTGCTCTAATTAACATGTAAATTCTACATTTATCATTGCACCTAGATTTCGTGTTTGTGTTTACCGTGAGGAAGGATGCTGCTCAACTTCAAGTGAAACCATACTCTTGATTCCTCCATCTTCTCTTTTGCCCTTTAATTTTGCTATATAAAGTCCTGACCTGTCATTGTCATTTGGCTTTTCTGATATGGATGAAAATTTGAGGAGGGCTGCTCGAGAAGGAAATGTTGATGAATTATACGCATCAATCCAAAGAAATTCTAATGTTTTGAGGCGTATTGATGGGAGAGACTTTGTTGACACTCCATTACACCTAGCAGCAGCAGAAGGGTGCATTGATTTTGCTATGGAAATAATGACTTTAAAGCCTACATTTGCTAGGAAGCTAAACCAACAAGGCTTTAGACCCATTCATCTTGCAGTGGAAAGGGGACATAAAAGAGCTGGTGCTACTTCTCTGGGAAAAGGATAAAGATCTTGTTCGTGTCAAAGGGAAGAAGGGTGAGACTCCACTGCACTACGCAATAACCACAGAAGAAAACCTTGATCTCATAGCCAGATTTTTGAAGGTTTGTCCCGAATGCATCCGAGATGTGACAACTACAAACGAGACTGCTTTGCACATTGCAACAAGAAAGAATAAATTAGATGTACTCAAACTCCTATGCGGGATGCTTAGGAGGTCTGACTTTTGTGAGGATGTGGTGAATCAGAAAGACATAAATGGCGACACTGCCTTACACATAGCTGGACGTAATAATCAACATGAGGTTCTGCTTATATGCTCTATTTAATTTTACTTTTAGCAAAAAGAAAAAGATTCTTTTCAGATTGTATAATTTCATCTTAATCAAACAGATGCTCAAACTACTATTGAAATGCAAGGCTGACAAGCATGCGACCAATCAGGATGGATCAACGGCACTGAATGTCGCACAACAACTTAATAACAAAGAAAGCATTAGAATTCTGCGTGGTTGCTGTATTCCAAGAGTTTCAACTTTTAATTATAAATGGCAGAAACAAATTTTCAAGAGTGTGACGAAGGCATCGGCTGCAATTTTTCAAGATATGGACAATATATCAATTGAGGACCGCAATGCCTTACTAGTAATTCTAGGACTGCTTTTAACAGCAACCTACCAAGCCAGTCTTAGCCCACCTGGTAGTGTTTGGCAGGGAGAGAGTTCCTCAAACTCCACTGCCGATGATATAGATGATGAACAAGTAGGGAAATCAGTCATGGATGAAATTACCTTTCTTTATTTCTACATTCCAACCTCTGCTGTTTTCGTAGTAACGTTTTTCCTAACATTGGGTCTCCTTAAACCTTTTCCTCGTGGTTTTAGGACTGCTCTTCAGGTACTCCTTGCATTTCTTGCTATATGCTTTTATCAATCAATCTTTTTCCTAGCGCCAACAGATTTAGCAACTATAGTTATTAATATATTTTCAGTTATGGTTTTCGTTTTGATGATGTTCATGTGTTTTGCTTATCGGGTGTCAAGAGTTAGTGTTTTAATTCCAGGATGTTGGTTATTCCCTACGGGTGCTCTGCTTAATGGTTTTATAGGAAATGAAATAGTAGGATGTTGGTTATTCCTTTTTCTATATGATGAATTCTGGAAAGGAACAGCTTTAGTTGTAGGGTATTGTTTACTCATTGGTTTGGGCAGACAAGACTTCATCATACATCCTTTTTTTATGCTAGGAGGCTGGTTATTCCTTAGTCTATGTCGATTCTGCATAAAGCTGTGCAATGAAAATTGTAATGCCTGAACAGTCAAACAATGTACCATGTCCATGTCCCCTACACATGGATATTGGATGCACATTTAGTGTTGAAGGATGGTCACTGCAATTTCTTTTGGTTCAACGACAACTAGGGCTCCAATCTATCATCTCTTACTCGTTTACCGGTTGAGAGCAGCCCAAGAGGCCAATGGAAATTGTTTATTATTTCCTAAGTTTTTCTATTTGTAGTATGTCAATGTATCACTGTTTTTTTTTTTTTTTTGTTATCTTTGTATATGAGTTTATGTTCGTGGATGCATGTATGTATAAAATAGTATTATAAAATTAGCTGTTGATTTTTCTCAAAAAAGAGTTTTATTTATTTTGTATCAAAAATTAAATCTTAATCAGTATAATTTAAAATCTAAATCTTTATCAACTAACCACACAAATGTTAAAAAAATATATTAAAATCAACACTACTAGGTTGAGAGAGATTAAATTTTCAACTGAATTACAAAAGTGACCTAACTAATTAAAACCAAGCGTGGTTTAAGAAGGAGAAGAAAAAAAAATTAAAAACTAAAGGGTAAATGTAAGCATTAACATATGACCGTTTTTTTTATTAAATTTTTAAGGTCTAAGGTGGCAATAATATAATATTATACCTTAAAATGATAGTCTGAGGAAAATGTTTTATATAAAATTATTACTAACCGGCAACAACCAATGACCAATACCTATAAAAAGCATAAAAGAAAAAATCGTTTTTATATAAATTAGGTGGAGTGCCCGCGCATTGTCGTAATTAGTTTTTATTCTTACAAAATATATATTTTAAAAGAATCTTTTTAATTTTTTTTTGTTAGACTCATTTAATATCAAGTTTTTAACAAACATCAGATAAATATGTATAAAAATATAATATTAAAAAATTAATAAATATATACTTTTATATATACCACAAATATATTTTTATTAAAAAATCCATCTAAATTAATTTGATATCAATGTTTTTTAATAAAACACCTACATTGAATCAAAACAAATAAATATTTATCAAATATTAATTATTTTGTCATCCCTATTAATCATCTCATTTTATTATAAATTTGATCTAATAAAAAAAATAAAAGAAAACAAAAGAAAATAAACAAATAGGGATGCTATGCGAGGATCTCTATTGACATTATTTTTTTACAAAAAAAATATCTAATTAAACAAACAATAAAAGGAAAAAGTAAAAAGTTTTTGAAACAAAAAAAAATGCGTGCTATCATATCTACTTAGATAAAAATTGAATTGTTTGGTCTATTCATTAATTCATTTTATTATAAAATTTATATAACTAAAAAAACTAAAATTAAAATGAAAAAAAAAATCAAACTAGGGTACCACATACACACTCCAATTGGGTTTCTTTTTAAAACAAATTTACATAAATAAAAAATAAAAAATTGAAAAAAAAGTAAATAGTTTTAAAAAAGAAAGAAACATAATGTGGTACGACAAATATTAAATAAAGGTCAAATAATAATCAAAATAAGTAAAATGCATATAATAGATGGATGAATAAATGGATCATATCTTAATTCAGTATAATTATAATATTTTTATTAAATTAATATATTAAATAATAATTTTATTAATATAATATAAATATAAAATAAATAATTATCAAATTAAAAAAAGAAAATTAATAAAAAAGAAAATAATATATATTTTTAATAATTATATCAAATGGGTCCCACTTTTAAAAATTTTAAAATATTAGTCAAATAAAAAAGTAAATAAAAATGTTAATAAAAAAAAAAAAGAATCAAATGACTTGACACATGACATGCCTTTAATATCAAGTAGGTCATAAAAAAAAATGTAAATAATTATTTATTAAATAAATCAAAAAAGGAGAAAGAGAAAAAAAATGAAAAAAAAAAAAAAAACTTACCCTCTTGGTATCGAGTGGATCCCACACATACAAAATTAAAATCTTAAAAAAGATTTATTAAATATTTTTTAGTAAATGTAAAAAAAGAAAAAGGAATAAAAGGCAAAATTCGGTATCAAATGGGTCTCACAGAAATTAAAAAATTATTAAAATATATTTATTAAATATAAAAAACTGAAAAAAAATCAACAGTTTTAAAAAGCATTTAAAAAAGAAAACAAAAAAAAAACTAAAATCAGAAAAAAAAAAAAAGAACCTTAAAAAGGAAAAATAATTACGGCTACTCAAGCATTACGTGGATCAATTTTTTTTTGTTTTGCCTTTTCTATTCATTGATTTTTTTTTCCAAATTGACCTAATTAAAAAAAAAAAAAAAGGACAAAAATATTTAAGAAAAAGGCAAATGGATCATATTCTTACAAAATTTATTTAACAGAAAAATCAAAAAATAAAAAACTAAAAAGGACAAAAATAAAATTAAAAGAAAAAATTTAAAATTTAAAAATAAAAAAAAATACTCGAGAGTTTCACATAAATAACTCCATCGAATTTAAAATATTAATTTTTTAAATTGAGTGCAAGAAGTAAAAAATAATATAAAAAAAGAAACAAAACTTAGCATAAAGTGGATCCCATTTTTTAAAAAATAAAATATATAAAAATATTTTTAAATATAAAAAAATTGCCAAAAAAAGTATGTAAACATTAAATTTGTCCGACCTTGATCAAATTTGTTATTTTTATTAAATAATAAATTAGATAATAATAATATTATTAAATATAATAATAAAAATTAAACAAAAAAATACAAAAAAAGAGAAGACTGGTGGCAATGGTGCCTAGCACGGCACCATTGGTCACCTTACCCTACCACCCATACCTTGTTCACCACTGCCACCCTCTGTTCACTATCCTTGCCTAGGCTCCTAGCCATACTATTACCGGATATGACAAAAAAAATAAAAGAGGCATGGGGCTCATGCTTATACCTCCATGCCTAGCCTTGTGCCATTCTCTCAGGCATAGGGCATGCCGGAGCTCTATAAATAGAGCTCCTGGCCGAACAAAAAAGAGAGAAAGGGGAAACTTTACAAAAAAATAAAAAAAGCTTTATGCCAAAAAAACACCAAAAAATATACAAAAAAAATAAATTAGTCCTCTAGAACAAGGAACCCAACGCCAAGAGTTCCTGCACAAAAAAAATAAATAAAGTTAGTTTCAAAAAAAGAGAGAGAATAAAAAAAATGAGTTTGACCGAAACTTCAAGAGTAGATTTAGGGAATTTGTGACTCTTTTTAGTGAAAATGAGGTTGGATCTGTATTCAGGGGATTGATGGGAGCATTTTGGGATATTTTAAAATTTTTTGACATCGACGACGGCGATCGAAGCTCACCACCGACGAGGACCACGACGACCATCATGGGGGATGGCCACCGGTCCTAATTGGCTTGAAAAAAAAAAGAGGGAAAAAAGGACATTTTTTTTAGAGGAGAAATGATCGAAAAAATTTTTGGGACATTTTATATAAATTGCCAAAATCAAAACGACGTCATTTTAATAAAAACCCAAAACGACGTCAGTTTAAACACTCAGGATCCCGAGTCAACCCATCGACCCGACCCGAGGTTCGCGTACCCTACTCGTTGACCCGCGTCTCTTTCAGCCCTTGACCGATCCAGCCGAACTGGCCTAGATTGAACCAGACCATCCCCGAGCCGAATCGTCCCCAAATTGCCAGACAGAACTAGACTGAACTGAACGGTTGATCCGACTAAACCGTTGATTGATCCGATTCAAGTATTTTTTTTGAATTTTTTAATATTATTTTGTTATTTTAAAATTTGTTATTAATATTTATGCATGTAAAAATATTTAAATTTGCTAGAATAATTTTTTGTTATTTTATGATATTAACAAATAAAAATAAATAATGAAATATATAGTAAAAATTTGTGATAATTTTGTTATTTTTAAAATAAACTTAATAATAATACAAAATTAATAAAAATGAGGAAAAAAAATTTTATCCGACGATGAGATTCAAAAGTAATACGAGTAGCGATACTTACGAAATCTCTAGGTGAAAATTTTTTTTTTAAATTCTACCAGTGTATTGGAGTATTTATAAAAAAAAAAATTTCAATACAATAAAAATTTTCTTTTGTTGGTTGCAAAATAATAAATAAAAACTAATTAATAAATTAAGAATAGGTAATAATATAAATAAGGAAAAAGAAAATTTTATCCAATGATGGGATTCTAAAAGTATTACGAGTATTGATGCTTTACGAAATCCTAAGGCGAGAAGATTTTTTTAAATATTACCAGTGTATTGAAATATTTATATAAAAACTTCAATATAATAAAAATTCATTTTTCCTTCATAAATTTAAATTTTAAAAATTAAATAAAACAATTAATAAAATTTTTAAACAAAAATAAAATATGTGTATTAACTTATTATTATTTGCATTGCATGCATGGCATAATTTTTTATGAAAAGTAAATTTGAGCCTCCAAGGATGGGATTCTAAGATATTCTGAAAAATAATGCCTAAAAAATCTTTATGTGAGAAAAAATTCTTCTAATATTACTAATGTACTGAAATATTTTAAGAATTATTTCGATACAAAATATTCTAATTTATTTTTCTCAAATAAAAATGAAACAATAATTAATAAATAAAAAATAATTTCTACTAAATAAAAAAATCAAGATTATTATTTTTCAAGCACAAAAAATAGGACTGTTTTTATCAAAATCAAAGGATAATACGTAATTAATTGATATCATTTTTAAACGCGCACTGTGATGGTGCTAATCTTTCCCCACATGTAATTGACTTTCGAACCCAGACTATTAGCAGATCCTAAAATTATATTTTTAATAAATTTTAATTAATTTTAAGATTTCATTAAAATGATATGTTTGAATAGGTAGTCAGTTGCACTTAACCAAAAAAGATTGATAACGACTCTATTTTTTTTTTTTGTTACCAAATTTGTCAGACGGATACAAAATCGTTACGAAAAAGTAAATGGATAATAATAAAAAACAAAAACAAAATTAACGTGGCACCCCTAGGTTAGAGAATT